ATAAAGATTAGTTAAAATTTGAATAATTTTTATTAGAAATAATTATTAATTTTTATATTAAGATATAAATCTTTTTGCACTAATTCATATTTATAAATAAATAATTAAATAGAAAGATTTAATAAAATATTAAAAAAATATTAAGAATATATATAATATATTAGCAAAATAGATAAGATAAAAATCTAATTATAGCTGAATTTACTTATAATAATAACAAGAATATTTTAACTAGTTATATATTTGTTAAACTTGATTATAATTAGATATCTTATATATTAATCAATATCTTATTATTATAAAATAATATTATAATATTATAAAATTTTATAAAGTATTAGAATATTATAATAAAAATTACTAAAAATTTATTACTTGAAGTATAAGATAAATAAAATAAATATATAAATTAATATAAAAAACTTAAAAAATTTAATCTTAAAGATCAAGTTCTTCTCTTTATCTATAATATAAAAAATTCTATAGATAAATAAAGAATAATTAAGAAACTCACACTAAAATTTATAAGATTCTTTAAAATTATTACTAAAATATCTTCTGTTATGTATAAATTATAACTATCAATAAATATAAAACTTTATCCAGTCTTTTATATTTTTTTTAAAAAAATATAATTCAAATAATAAGTATAATAAATATTAATTATTATCAGTTATTATTACTTTAGATAATGAAGAAGAATATAAGATAAAAAATATTTTTAATAAAAGAATTTATTATCATAAATCTTAATATCTTGTTAAATAGCTTAGATATTCTTTCTATAATACAATATAAAAATCTCTTGAGAATTTGAAAAATATAATAAAAAAGATAAATATCTTTGAAAAATCAGATACTTGAATATAATAAGAATATTATACTTTAAGTAAAAAGATATATAATAATTTTGATTAGATTATCTTCTTTTAGTTTAGATCTTTATTTTGTATTTATATAATAAATTAGCTTTTGTATCACTTTTCTTAAAGATTGATTTACATTTTAAATATATAGATAATTATTTATATATTTAATATATTAGCTTTATCATATTATTATATAGATAATTATTATATATATCTATATTATTAATTTAAATAATTAATATTTTTAATTAGATTTCTTTTAATATTTTCTTTATAATTTTATTTGTTTTTTTTATTATAATTTATTATTATTTATATTATTTATAATTATTGAATTATGATTAGTTGTTCTCTGAAGATACAAATTAAGTTAATTAATTTTGTTAAATCATATATATTTAATTATAAAAATTATTATTAATTTATTCACACTTTGTATTCATTTCTTTCACTATAAATATATCCCTTCTTTTCTATACTTTTATCTTATTATTCAACAATAAAAATCATAAGTTTTATAAAATTGAAACTATTCATATTACATTTTATCTTGTTTACACTTATTAACAAAATAATCTTACAACATTATCCAATTATATTTAATTTAAATTATGATAATTATTATTTTCATATTTTATTAAATATTTATTCAAATATATATTAGAAAATAGTCATATATTAGAATTCTTGACATGTATATATGTAATAGATAATACATCTTATGATCTATATTTAGAAATATGCATATATTATAAAAGAAGTATGTAATAAAGTCTAGAAAGACATAGTTGTTATAGTCTTCTTCTTGGATTTCTAATAATAAATCATAGTCTAAGTGACTATTTCCCTCATAACCTCTTACTCTGTATGAATATAAGTGTTGTTGTGTGCTAGTATTTTAATAGTGATCTTTTTAGGTACACGAAAGATGTATTTTTTGTTTACAGGTTTTTTTAGCGATTTGAAACCAATTATGATATATTTGACATTAGTATAGCCTTGGTGTATTTTTTTTCCCGCCTCACTCAAGTGACGACCATTTTGCTTTTTAGTCGTCTCTCGAGTGACGTGCATTTTGCTTTTTTTGACACACAGCAAGGTACTCCAATCGACTACAAACTAGATCCACCTGGAAGGTTTGATGCGGAACAAAGTGGAGCATTCATGCCCATCTGGAAGGTTTGATGTGGAGCATAGTTATCTGTTTAGTTAGCATTTAGCTTTCTGTCGCTGTGAGCATGAACTTTTAGGTGAATGTGAAACGGATGCGAAACGTAGCAGAGCATTAGTTAACTATATAGCAAAAATTAGATTTTTTTTTAGGTACACGAAAGGTATTTTTTTTGTTTTCGAAGTTTTTAAGCGATTTGTAACCAATCCTGATATATTATAGATAGAATATTCTATAAGATTTTTTGTTAATAAAAAAGATTTAAGTACACGCTCGGTGTATTTTTTTTCTGATCGTTCTCAAATATGATTAAATTTATAAATCTGACTACGTTCGAATAATGATATCTGACACTAAGGAACATAAACCCTTGGGTGAATGCGACGCAGTTGCGGAGCGTAGATATCTGTCACAAAGGAACATGAACCTTTAGGTGAATGTGACGCAGTTGCGAAGCGTAGCGGAGCATCTTAATTATCTGTTTAGTTTTCGATCATAACATAATAACCTTTAGCATGTTTTTTACATGTTCCAGGTGCAGAAACAGTTGGCTTACTGCAAACCTTACATAAAACACGTTTTTTTGCTCTCCAATGTTCATGGACGTCGACATCCACGATCCCAGAGTTGTGTATATATTCACATGTATATTCACCTTGCATTTAATAATTTTTTATAAATGAATAATTATTTTAATTTAAACAAAGATCTGCTTATATTAATAAAAAACACGGAATATAATTTACATCAAAATGGTAGGTAAATGTCCAGGATGTGGATACTCTCCAAGATCAGGTGAAACCCGCGATATAGATAAGCATTTGGATTTAACACGATCCAGACCATGTCAGGCTCTCTTACAATTAACACGAGCGCAAAATGCACCTCAAACAGAAAACGCTACACCACCAGCTCCAGAGGGCGATTTCATTTCATTCGATGAAAACCAACCGACACTCCAGCCGAATGAGCAAAGTGTGCCGGCAGTAGACCCCAGAATAGGATCTAGTTCAGCCAATAAATATAATAAAACTATCCTGATCTATAAGCATATAACAAATGGTATTGAGTTTTATGATGGCAAAAGAATACATTAACAAGTTTAAAACTTTTTCGAGAAACTACTTTAGCACCAAAAAGAAAGATGAAAAAGAGAGAATACTTGGTTAGATTTAGTAACAACAGGCGCTTTAGTATTCGCTGAAAGATATGAAGGAGAAGCTATTCAATATGATGTAAACTCGATGTATGTATATGAAATGTTAAAGAAAGAGGCATCATGGCCGATTGCATCAGGTAAATTTTATACTATAAATCCAACTTTTGCAGAAAAATGGAATATATATTATTATGGAATTTATCGAGCTACAATAGAGGGGACTCCTTCAAAAGAAAAATTTACAATGTACAAGATATTTGCGTTACGATTATCATAGATTTTATACACATTATGATTTAGAATGTGCTAAAGAATATGGATTGAAAGTAAATTTAATAGATGAATCATCAAATGCACTTATATGTGAAAAAAATACACATATAAGTGGAAAAGATATGTTTGAAGAATGGGGCAATATATTATATAACATTAAGAAAGAAGGAGGAGTAGCAGGAGAAGTTAGTAAGAAGTTATTAGTTTCATTGTGGGGTACATTATGTGAGCAAAGAAATGAACAAAATTATGACGCTCATTTAAGAATTAAACCGTTTCTATCAGCATCTGCCAGAAAAAGAATGTCAGAAAATGTGAGACCAAAGCGCATTCATATAGATGGATTTATAGTGGCAGGACAAATAAATCTCAAAACAGATATGAATTAAAACTTGAAAAAGAGGAGTTTGTACGATAAAAAAATTGTATAACAATTACTTGGAAGCCTTCATATCCTGAAATTCCAAATTTTCTTACAGATAGTTTATCAGAATTCGAGAAAATACAAAAAGACAAAGAGCAGGATACAAAGTCAATAGAAAAAAAGAAACTGTTATAAAGGTCTGATATAAATATTCCGAACGAAATTATAATAGAAATATTACATCATTTACGAACACAAAATGATAGTAATAACAAATTATTGTTTCCAGTTTTATATATTAATAAACGAAGGAATGAATGTGCAACATATTTAATATGGATACAATATTAGAAATTTTGTTGAATTAATAAAAAAGAAACCATTACCGAAAGTAATAAAATATATAAAACAGATAGAATTCGAAAGAATAGATAATTATTTTAATATGAATGAATTTCTATTAGAAGAAATTATAAATATATGCCAAGATATAATCTCTATATCATTTAAGGATTGCGGTTGGGAAATTCTCAACAATAGTTCATTAAAGATACATGCATGCATATGGGAGTAATCGAATAGCACCAAAGACAATCTTAAGCATACCAGAAAAACGTACAAATATTAAAAACTATAAAAATACAAAATTGCGAACGAATAACAGATAAAATAATAGTAAGCAAATATCCGAAAATTGAGATTAATTAGTTATCTAAGCCGTAAAACTCATTTAGGAGATATTTCAGCTGATTGGAGGTTCACATCAATATTTGTTAACAAGAAGCAACTGCCTCCAGCAATTTTTTTTATTAAATAAAAAGCTTATATTAAATAAAACTTATACTATATAAAACAAATTACAAAATATATATATAACCAAGCATGACAGATACTAATTCAAGTTTAAAAGAGCAGAGCTCAGAGTTATTAACACAAGATATTACATGGAGAATATTGAATTAGCACGAATCAAAATAATAAAAGAGGCATTTTGTCTTTAATATAAAAAAGATAGTAAGCTTATTAGTGAATATTATAATTATTTTTATTATTTAAAAACATAGATAGATAATACTTATTTATAGTAAAAAGAAATGAATATAAAAGTGAATAAATTAATAATAAAATTTATTTTAAAATATATAATATGCTACCTATGTAAAAAATTTGCGTAATTCTGATGAGTATATAAAATATATTGCAATAACACTTTTTCTAAATAAAGAGATATACAATAAAAGAATGTCAAGATATAGAAATTGGTTTCATAATAAAAAAGAACTTCTACTAACAATAGAAAATCTATATATAATCTTTATTATGAGTTATCCAAAAGAGAGCAGTGATCTAAAAGAGGAGGGGAAGAAATATTAGACAATTTGCGCATTTTTAAATTAATTTATATCATTAGAACTTTTGTTTTTTTTAATAATTATGGGTCAGTGCAAAAAGATTTGTACCTCAGATAAATATTAATAAATTATTTTTCTCAAAATAAAATTTTAATTCTGTCTTATTTACTTAAGTTATTAGGTATTGGGATTTATTTAAATGTAAAAATTTTTATCATATATTTTTTATAAAAAATTTTTACTAATAATAACTTTTTTTTAATTATTATTTCTTAAATTTAACTATATAAAATTTGATTAAAATTAATATAAAAATTATAT